AGCCGATGGTTTCCTGCCCCTCGGAAGCGGGCCCACCGAGCCGTCGGCCTCCGAACCGTCCTCGTCCACCTCCACCGCAGCCGGCTGAGGAGGCGGCTTCCCTACCGCCGCGGGCCAGTGGGGGCCCCCAGCGGTCGGGAGCAGCAGCTGCGCAGACGGCGGCACCCCCGAGGGCAGTACCTTGGGGGCCGCTCCCGCCCCAGAACCGTCTCCAGCCTTGCCTTCGGGCCGGCTCATGAGCGGGGACAACACCCCCCTGGTGGCGGGGGCACCCCTAGGCTCTTCGGGAAGCTCTGGGCCGAACAAGCACCACGGGCTAATGGCCCCACAGGCGGGAGGGCTGGGGCGGCTCTGCTTGGACCCCGGGGGCGCCAGAAGGGTGTCCAGGACACTGTCCAGCAGCCCGCCGTCCTTTTCGGGGTCTCGAGTGCTGTCGCTTCCTGCACCCCCTACTGCTTCAGCTCCGGAGTACGCGCCCTCCACGTCTAGCAGTGGCTGCTGGTCCCGCGTCTTCCCGTCGAGGGGGTCCTGTCCCTGGCTGAGTTGAGGGAAGAGCAGACGGTCCAGGGAGATGGGAATGGCTGCGGCGCCCGGCGAGGCGTCCGGAGAGGTCTGGCTGGCCTGGAAGGGACCGGCGTCCGGGCGACCCAGCAGGGGGGACCCGACCTCGGTGGGGGAGGGCCTGCCGCCCGCCGCGTGGGGAGCCCGGGGATCCTTTGCCTTCAGCTCTGTCATGACGACCCGAACTCCCCTTTTCTCCTCCCCTGTCTCTGGGGAGGAGGGAAAGGGGAAGGAGGAGGGGGTGTCGGTAATATAGGGGCAGAGGGAGGAGAAAAGGGGTGTTGAATGTAGCCCGACCCGGGGGATCTCCACCTCCCGAGTCTGGAGGGGCGGTGCTGGTCAGCGCCTGCCTTTGCTTCCCATCCTTTGGTCAGAGGAAGGGTGGCAGTCGTCCGACCTCGCGGCCGAAGAGGAAGGCAGGAAAAGGTGTTTGTAGGGATCGGCTCCTATCAGAGTTCTCCGAGAGAGTCCTCCGGCTCTGTCAGTGGACTGGAGACTTGCTGTACTCACACGTCCGGCGCTGGAGTGGCTGCTGCCTGTGCTGCCAAAGCAAACTACACGCGGCTCTGTCTCCCGACTTATTCCCAGGCTTCACACTCGGGCACGAGTGCAGTTCGCAATCCCTGATCTCCTTCTGAGGTTAGCTGCGCTTTTCTCCTGAAAGCCCGGGAGTGCCGTTTGGACCATTCAGGACTGCCGATGCTCAGTCGTGCTCCTGCCGGCTCCCCACAGCACTCGGCCGTCTTCTCTGCAGCTCTCACCGTTCAGTCCTGGAGAACTAGCCGCCTCAGGCTAAGGTCCCATTCAGACGCCAAGCGAAGCTAGTTTTCGTGGAGAATGCCATCCACAGCGAAGAATCCTCACTCAATACTACAAGGCTTAACCTGTGTAGTAACAACCCTAGTCGGGCTCCACGGCTTTCTAGCAACGCCTCCGCCTCCTCTCTCGAAGGAGGCCCGCCCAAAGCCCCTCCCCACCCCAATTACGACCAGATCTGCAACTCAGGAGTAGGTATTCCAATCCACTAGTTTGAATTCCACTCTGAATATAGCTGGTGTTTCCTTAGATGGAAGCTCATAAGCATGTCACATTTTGTACCATCAGCTAAGATTGTGCCAATTAAACAGGGAAGTGAATAGATTAAATGGAAAACAAAAATTTTGTAACCATTTCAGGACTTCAGTTTTATAAAGATTTAATACAAAAGACATTTAGCTACATGATGTTTTAGAATAAACATATCAAGAGCGATCCTAAATATTTTAAGAAATTCTTTCCCTATGAGTTCCGTAACAGTGAATTCTGGACTTGGATTTGGGGCCACCTTGCCTCAGCCTCCCAGAGTGCTGGGATGACAGGCGTGCCCAGTAGCACTGTGGGGCTCCTGTTGGACAGTGCCCAACATGATTTAGCAGTTTGGAAGTGGCAGATGATTGGTATCACTTCTCTACCTGTATGGAGATTTTGGATGTTCTATGCTGTACTTTGATTGTTCTAAGGAATGCGTTCTAATTCTTAGTAAATACCCATTTCAAGAAAGTTTCCTTTAGCTCTGGTTTATGCTTTATACTACAAGATAAGATCCCTACTAGAGGCTGATCAGTATTCTCTCCCCTCATTCTTACTCTTTTTAATCTCATTGAGTTTATTGGTACATTTTAGGGATACACTACAGTTACATTCATCATTGGGACCTTGTACCTTTACATGACAGATCTTGGTTCTCATTTTTTCCTCATACCCCTGCCCTCCCTTCACCCCCTCCATCCTCCTCTATTTACAAAGACTTTGTTTCCATATTTTCCTTTTCTCACATTTTTTCTTTTCCCTTATTTCCTTCCCCCTACTCTTTATTTCCCCTACTTCTTTAGCCCTTTCCTTCCTATTTCACACGATCAGTTATACAATTTCTATACAGTTATACAATGTACACTTTTAGTTTTTTCACACCAGAGAAACTATTTGGTATTTACATATATGTGTCTTATTTTCAATATTTTCATTCTTAAAAATAATTATATTTCAACTTTCAAAGTTTATGAAGAAACTGTGGAGAGAGGGGAGAAATATGATATATATTTCAGCTACAGACTCATAAACTACAATGTTTGGGCTAAACCAAGGTCACTGGCTATCCTGACATCTTAAATATGTTCAAATTCATTAATTAATCATTTAGTCATTAATCAGGTAATCATTTGGAAAGTTCCTTTTGGGTGTCAAGGTCACGGTATGCTAATGTCTCACAGTTTCTCTCACACAGGTGTGGAGGATACAAAGGAAGACTCCCGGACTTCAGGATGCCTGGAGCCTCCAGAGGTGGGGAACCTGCACCCCTGAATCACTTCTGGAGGGCCCATATGAATGAGAAGGAAGCATTTTAGATCCCTGGGTTTTGGAGTTGACTGTTCTAACAATTAATTAACTCTGACTAGGTTTAGATAAGTAGGGTTTAGGAAGGTACAGAGGGCTACAGAGCATTCCAGGAGGCATCTAATAAAATCTAGTAAGGGAGCTATAAGGGAACCATTATGGAGTTAGAGTGGGAAGAAAATAAATAAGGTTAGAAAGGTTAACTGAACTATTATTATTATTATTGCTATTGTTTTTGTTTTTCAGACCTTTCTCTTTCCAGTCTATCTTCAAAACACTCGACATGTCTTACTTGCTGAGTTATAATTCAGGTACTATGCCGTTCACTTATGTAATTCATACAATTGTGTTTTTTAAACCATATTTGCAGATGCCTACAATTCAGTGTTTTTGTAGCCTATTTATAGTTGCATGATCATCACTATTGTCTATTTCAGAACATTTGTAGAACTCTAAGAAAAAAATCATACCCATTAGCAGTAATTCTCCTCTTCCCCAGAATTCTCCTACTAGCCATCAGTCTACTTTTCATCTCTGTGGATTGAGGTATATTGCACTTTAATATCATGGAATCATACCATCTGGGTCTTTCTGACTGGCTTCTTTCACTTAGCATGTTTTCACGATCCATCTGTGTTGTACATACATAATTGCATCATTGCTCTTATTGCCAGTATTTCATTGTGTAGATATATTGCATTTATTCATTTATCAATTGTTGAACTTTTTAAATATTTTTGGCAATTATGAAAAATGCTGTAATGAACATTCATGTACTAGTTTTTGCACAGACATGTATGTTTCTCTTGGGTAGATACCTGGGGCTGCAATTGCTGGGTCACATGGTAACTCAAGGCTTTTCACTTTTTGAGGAACTGCCAGACTTTATTTTCAAATTGTACATTTTAGAATTTCATCAGTAGTGCATGAATGTTGTTGTTTGTTTGTTTGTTTTTTGGTAGTGGGGATTGAACTCAGGTCCTTGCACTTGTGAGGCAGGTGGCAGAACCACTGAGCTAAATCCCCAGCTCAATAGTGCGTGAATGTTAGGGTTCCCCACATTTTTGGCATGTCTTTTTAAATTATATGTCTCTTAATGTATGAAGCAGTCAGTACTTCACTATGATTTTAATTTTTATTTCCCTCATGTCTGCTGCCATAGAATCTGTAGAATTGGGACCATCTAGACAGCCTTGGGAGGTAGTCTTCTAAACATCTTACATGTTTTCACAGTCCTGTGAAATAGGAACTATTATCTCCATTTTGTTGTTGGGTAAACTGAGACAGTGTGACTCAAAACAATATTCTAACGATAGTAAGAGAGCCAGATTTGAACCCCAGCAACCAAAAGTCAGCCTTCTTATGAATGCGCCTTTAAATGTTAGATGGTTTTGAATTTGGTTCTAGCTTGCTGCCATAAAATTAAACACTTGGCCTAATTTTTAATGTGAAAAACTGTTTGGCTTAATTTTCATTGGTTACAAAAATTCTCTCAAGCCGTATTATCTGACTATGTTTTTTCCATAAGACTTAAAAAAAAAGCTTTAAATGGGAAAAAATAATAAAGATTCCCAGCATATTGCAATACATCACTACACTGTGAAACTTGGTGCTGGGTGATTCACACTGCTGGAACAGAAACTTCCCAAATACTATATGAATCTTTGAGCGAGACAAAATTCATTGGTTAAATTCAAGTGTGATGGGGTAATGCCATATATTCCTGACAACTATTTCTTTAGAAGAAAACTTAAACCTGGAAGTGATTTTTTTTCCCTAGAGTTTGAAAAAAGAAAATATTATTGTTACAACATCATGCAATAAAGCACATATATTTAAATTGTACAATTTGTTAATAAGATGTATATTTCAAACAATACAATTTATTAAATTATGTATATGTATGTATGACAAACATGTGCATGCTATTGCCACAAGCAAGATGGCAATATAACCTTTGCCTCCAAAAGTGTGCTTTTATTTTTAAAAATGTGTGTTTATGCTACTTTTTAATTTCTTTCTTATCCCCTCTTTGCGCTACTACTGCTGGTCCCCCTGCAACCACTAATCTGCTTTCTGTCACTGTGTACTAGGGTTTAAAGATTTGCATCTGGTTTAATAAATATCATTATAAATTTTACCCACTATATATATTCTTAATATCTAATATTTTTCTGTATATTTTTAATAGCCTTCCTTTTAGAATATTTTAGATTTATGGAAGAGTAAGCAGATAATAAGAAATTGACATGGCCTTTGTACAAAGTCTCCCCCATTGTTAGCATCTTGTATTAATAAAGCATTATATTTAGTGAGCTGACACTGATACACTGCCATTAACTCATATCCACAGTTTATTCAGAATTCCTTAGTTTTTTCTTGACGTTCATTTTTCTTTCTAGGATTCCATGTGGGGCATGTCTCCTTAAGCTCTTCTTGGCTGTGACAATCTCTCAGACTTTCCTTGTATTTCAAGACCTTGAAAGTCCTGGAAGGTGTTGTAGGATACCAGTCTATGAGAGGGCTGGAGTCCTGAGTTTTGAGGAGGAACATCAAAGAGGTAAAATAAAATCATTTTGTCATATCGGTGTGCACTGTCCCATCACTTAGGACTGTTAATGTTGACTTTGATCACCTGGCTGAAGTGAGGTTTGTCAGGTTTCCCTACTGCTCTAATCTTTTTCCCTCTTTCCATAATGTACCCTCTGAAAGGAAGTCACTGTGAGTCATGTAGGGTTATGGAGGAGTAGGGAGTTATGCTCTTTCTCTTTTAAAATAGAATATCTACATAATTTATTTGG